GGCCATGTCCCAGGAGGAGCTTCTCTCAGGACCATCACAGGCCTCCCTCTCCTGCAATGTCCAGGAAACTATCCAACCAAAGCCATGATGACTTCCCTGGGAGTATTCCTTCCATGTCTTCCCCCAGACTGTTTTGGTGGACACAAGAACTGCCCTTGTTGGGAAACAGGTACTGTCTTAGGTCCTTCACTGGTGTACATGTTGCCCCTCCTTGCTACCAAGCTTGTGTTTCTCCATTTAAGGCACCTAGAGGCCTTTGTGAATGAAATGGGACAGATATTGTACTTATTGGTTTGCATTACTTTCCTATCAAATCCTTAAGTAAATCTCCTTTAAGTCTCAACAAAGGACTGCCCTCAGATACAACTAGTATTTATCTATGGGACTGTATGGGGTGTGCAGGGAGGACTAGCACTTCTGGTGAAAGCCACACCCTGTCTCAGCAGACAGGCTAAACTAGGCTGAGTGTAACCAACAGTCCTCAAAGCTGTAGGTGAATCATGGGGATGAGCGTTCCCTAGCAGAATGGGTAGAGCAGAACAATTTTTTCCAATAGATATGAAGATGGCTGAAGCCAGCACTGTGGAGCTTTTAGAGCTTGATCAAATACCGAAGATGCCAAGGTGATCCTCTGCATCCCAGGTCATTGCCAGTGCTCCTGATGACTTCACGCAATTCTGCCAAGTCACCATGACTTTTGTCTTGACATTAGACTTTGATGACTCTCTGAAGAGTGGTGAGGCTTATGACTCTGTGCAGCTCTGCCTTACTTAAATCCAATTCACAGACAAGCAGGAATATGTGTTGTCTTCAAAAATGAAGGATGAACAAGAATACATCTCTGTCTACACCATCATTCTTGTAAGCTTTTTCAAGAGTAGTGGTCACGTGCCTATGATTTTCTTTGGACAAGACCCAACATAGAATCTCTGTATCTTGACTCTAAATGCCAAGAAAAATATTATACCAATTGCAAAGTGTCCATGAGCACTACAAAATCTCTTCAGTGAAGTTAATCATAATTCAGAAGTCAGCCTGTTTATATTAGAAAAGCAAAGTTGGCTAAAAAAATATGTTTGTTCAATTACTCTAGGTAGTTGGATTGGCAGTCCATTGAGTTAGTTGACCAACTTGTAAAACTAGGTCAGGTGCTTCAAATGCTGAAAAAATTGGATCCCTAATTAAAAGAGAGAGAATTTAAGCTGGAAGTAATATGAGAAGAGGTGCCATGCCTTGAGTAACTCTAACTGTCTGAGCCTTCGTTCTGAACATTGCTGGTGAGTAAGGAGAGGACCTAATTTACCCAGTCCAAGATCATGCTGATATATGAGAGCTGTTTAAAATGGAGACAACAATATGTGGGATGGGCTATGTTTTAGCCAATTCCCCTTTTCATGGGAGATCACGCTTAAGATGAAAATTTCATAATGGGACACATCTCTCACATCATTTCTGTAGAGCAGCTGTTCTTAACCTAGGATCCCTAAATTTTAAATGAATATATTTTTATGCCTATTTCAATATTGGTAACTAAGGCTATGCATTGTATTTTATGCATTTGTAAACATTTTGGGAAGGGATCCAGTTATTATGGTTGTTGAGTCACTTTCAGTCATGCTTAACTCTTCATGACCCCTTTTAGGGGTTTTCTTCACAAAGACACTGGAGTGGTTTGCCATTTCCTTCTCCAGGTCATTTTACACATGGGGAAACTGAGGTTAAGTGACTCATCAGGGTCCCATAGCTAGTAAGTGTCACAGCCTAGACTGAAACTCAGGTCTTCCTGACTCCTGGCCCCATACTCAGTCCACTGTTCAACCTAGCTTCCTCCCCAAAACAGACCAGGAAAGTATTTATTGTACAAGGCATATAATCTGTATTTCAGCTATTTATTTCCTCCATGTGAAAGGCACATTTAAAAGACAACACTCATATGTGCACATTAACAAAAACTTAAAGCATGAAAAAATAACTCATAAGTCTTCTACACTCCTGGGAAGCTGATATTTAACACATCAAAGTGACTCCAGATCATCCAGGTCACCTTTACCTTGGCTCTGCCCTTTCTGAACAAGCGACCCCAAGCTATGTCTTGCATTCCTTCTTCTCCTTGTAGTCCTCTTCTCTGAGAAGGATGTAGTTGCAGAAAATTCAGAAAGGGAAGCAAATGTGACACTGCCTGAGTTAGTGTTAATCTTTGTGTGTGATCTGCTTGGGCTCAGAGGACAGAATCAGTGAAAGTCTAAGAGGTAGATTTTGACTTGACAGAAGGATAAACTTCTGAATGCTGAGAGCTATCCCAAAGTGGCATGGGCTACTTTGGAAAGTGATTGATTTCCTCTCAATAGAAGTTTTCAAACAGACTGGCTCATTCAATCACTTGTCACAGATGTTGTAGAGATGATTCTTGGCCAAGTATGAGTTGGACTAGAGGGAGTCTGAGGACTCTTCCAAATGTAAGATTCTGTGATTCAATTAGTGTGGGTGCTTTTCAGAGAACTTTCTGGCCTTTCCTGGCTTTTCAGCTCATATCCAAGAATCCCAGGAAACTCCGGACATGGCATGCCTCTCCATGTACTCGAGTAGACTATCTCCCCATTGACAAGCATGTGGTCCAGAGCAGATTCTATGTTCTAAAAAGGGAATCCTAAAGGCTTGTGTTGTTATTGTTTGTGTTGACATGCAATCATATCCAACTCTTCGTGGTTTTCTTTTTTTTAATTAATTTTTTTATTCCAAAAATATTTTATTTTTCCCAAGTATGTGTAAAAACAATTTTAAACATAATTTAAAAAAAATTTTGAGCACTAAATTTTCTTTCTTACTCACATTTCTCCCCTCATTTAGAAGGCAAGCCATTTGATATAGGTTATACATGTGTAGTCATGAAAAACATACTTCCATTTTAATCATGTTGTGAAACAAAACATAGACAAGAAAAAAAATAAAGAAAGTTAAAACAAGTAAGTTTCAATCCACTTTCAGACTCCATCACATTTTTCTCAGTGAATAACATGTTGTATCATGAGCCCTTTGGATCATTGTATTGCTAAAAATAGCTGTCATTCAACTATTGTTTATTGTACCACATTGCTATTATTGTGTACAATGTTCTTCTTCACTTCACTTTGCATCAGTTCATATAAGTCTTCCCAGGTTTTTCTGAGAGCATCCTACATGTAATTTCTTATGGCACAATAGTATTCCATCACAATCATATACCACTACTTGTTCAGTCATTCCCATATGCTTTTCTGAGCAAAGATCTGGAGTGGTTTGCCATTTCTTTCTCCAGTGTGTCCTCATACTACAGATGAGGAATTGAGGCAAATAGGGGTCAAATAACTTAGCCAGAGTCAAGCAACTAGTCAGTGTCTGAGGCCAGATTTGGACTTGATCTTCCCCACTGTAGGCCCACTGCTTGATCCCACCTGCCCAAAGGCAACTTGTTCCTTAATGGTATAGCAAAAGAGTTTATCCAAAGACTAGACACTCTTGAATAAGCAACCCTTAACCCTAATAAACCAATAATATCACTCACAGAATCTAAAAATAAGTACTCTCAATTATGGGCCCCCAGAAGCTTTATCTGTACCTTCTGTTCTTTCTTTTCAGAGGTTGAGGAACAGGAAGGGGTTTTCTTGACACTTCCCCCAAACCCTAGAGGTAACTAGGTTTCAGAAAGACCTGAGTTAAAATCTGGCCTTAGGCATTTAGTAGTTTTGTGACCCAGGGCAAGGCATTTAACCCTAATTGCCTCAGTTTCCTCATCTGTAAAATAAGCTGGAGAAGGAAATGGTAAATCACTCCAGTATCTTTGCCAAGAAAACACCAAATGGGGGTCATGAAAGTAGGGCAGGACTGAACAACATCAAAAACCCTGGGTGTCTATCTTTGTGGGACTCAAGGAGATCAAGGAAACTGTACACATCTCACTATGAACACCTTCATGCCACAAATATCCTTGTTTTACTTACGTATCTTTTTTGGAATACACCATTGTATTATAAAATGTATTACTGAAAAAAACATAACAACCAAAATAAATTGTTTTCTCTAAACAATTAATGAACTTTCCATGTAAAATTCAAATATCTAATTAACTAAATGACTCATTCTTAATGTAGGAAATGATACAGAGTGAAACGAGCAGAATCAGGAGAACAGTTTAATCTGTAATAATGTTATAATGACAGTGTCTGACACATATTGACACAGTAATTGTTTGATGACTGACAAACAACTTTGAAAGAAAAGTAAATTGTGAATCAATGCAATGAGTAACCATGATTCCAGAGGACCAGAGATGAAGCACGCTAATTACCTATCTCCTAATAGAGATGTGATCAAATCATTATGCACAAAGAGACATATTATATCATTGGCCAATAGGATAATTTATTTTCCTTGATTATTCATATTTAATAAAAGGTTTTTTTTTCTGCTTAGGAGCAGATGGGGAGAGAGAGAAAATAAACACTTGTTCATTTATAAAAGTAAAATAAAATAAAATACAAACTTTAAAATAAAAAAAATACTCCATAGAAGTTCTTAGCTGAGAGGTTAGTAGGTGTAGACAAGTAGAAACATTTGGTCAGTGGAACACCATTCCTCAGCGATCATGTGAGACCAGAAATCAGGAGATCCCATTGGAAAAGTACAATAATATCACTAGAAAACATCAGTGGGGCTGTAGCTGTGGAGGTATGAATTGATCTGTGACTCTTTCCTGACTACTTGGGAAACTTAAATATATGCCCCTCCACAAATGGCCGCTGGCCATACATAATCCATAGCTGTTTGCCTCTTCAAATGGACACTCTTTGGTTTGTCCACTTTTGCCACTGATAGTGCGCACGTGTATAGGGAAGTTGACACCAAGTAAATCTGAAGAAAAGTCTATTACTACTTTTATAACTCTGATAGCATTACATGTCTTTAAAGTAATTCAGTCTTCTTGTTGACTACTAAAAGCACAAAAATCATCAGTGCCTCATGATCCATACTTTTTCAGTTGGTATGAGTTCATAGAGTACCGTAAATCTAGAGTAGCTAATTGGAGGGGGAAGAAAGGGTATCTAATTATAACAAGCATCAATCTTCTCTTCATCAAGAATCATACAATAAGGATGCTTGGTGGTTTATTATCTGGAGGCAGAAAGTAAGGATAATGAAAACCTAGTGAAAAAGGCTTTCTTATGATTATTCTTAGAAGGGGAATTTTTCTCCCATTTCTCCTATAGAGTATGACCTGGGATCTTTGAGAGTCCTCAGGGACAGATAGACTACCCAACTCAGAAAGTGATGTGGTTTTGCTCCGCCCCCAGACTCTATCTCCTAATTGTTTAACAGGGTGAAAAATCAGTCAGGAGAGATGTACCATCCTTTCCTCAATTATGCCATGGGCACCAGCCTTCTCTATTGTATGGCTGTATTTCTCCTGGAAGTAGGTAAGTCCTGGGCACAGATTATTAAGATTGCTACATTCCCTTTTGATATAATGTCAACATCTTACATAAGTTTCACCTCCTGTCTTTTGTCTCTTTTCTTTCCAGACTGCATGCATGCTAAACTCACTCAGATCCCAAGGCATCTAATCATAGGGAAGGGACAGGCAGTGACGATGACATGTGACCAAGACACTCAGGATACTGGAATGTTTTGGTATCAACAAACCCCAGAGAAGGTGGATCTAGTGCTGGTTCTTTACTCCGTGGGAAAGGGGGATATAAGTGATGGGGATGATCCTCAAGGATTTCAAGCCAAGAGACCAGATATCAAGGTTTTTACTCTCAGCAAACCATCTGCAGAACCCAGTGACTCTGGGATGTATTTCTGCAGTTCCAGCCACAGTGATGAAAGGACATTTCATTTCTATACACAAACTTCCTTTCTTCCACCTCAGCACAGGAAGTAGGAGTTGGTGGGGAGGGAAGGGAGTGCAGGCAACTGTCATCAAAAGAAAAGCAGCACAAAAGAGAAAGAAAAAGATGTTTCATATAACACAATATCAAAAAGTCAGTCGAAAATGCTAAATGCTTGAATTACTAGTAGAATAAAGTCTACAACCTATGATGGTAGACCCTTTTCATCAATTAAGTCTTCATATGTGTTAGTTGATCCACTGTACCATGCTATATGCAAAACTACAAGACTGAATTGGCTTCCCTTTTCCACCTTTCTGTTGGATTTCAGAGATATATTTGAAGCTACCACCCATTTATTTCCTGTGATTGGGCTGAGCCCTTGGAATTTGGAGGGGCTACTTGTGATGATGAATCAAGTTGTTTGGAAGTTTTGGAAAGAGGAATCTTGGATTTTGCTGACCCAGAGGCAGAGGGTCCCATGCTCTATTCATTTCACAGCCAAGACCACAACCAATGCTCCCTTGAATCTTCAGTCACTCTGAGAATGCACAAATGCAACAGAAAGGAGTCCAGAGTGGCAGGGATCTCATTAGCTATAAGATGGAAGGGAAAGCACTTCTGCCCCATAGCGCTCCCCTTTTCTTTCCCTTGGTACAGCTCCTAAACCGAGGAAGAGTCCCATATCTCCAACTCCTACGTTAATCCTTTCCATATCTGGAGGAAGTTCAAGGCTGTACCTCAGCACCTCACAGATCTTGCTTGGAGGTCAGGAGGAATTTGGGAAAGATGATGGGAATTAGAGAGTTCTATGTAGAAGCACTTAATACTTTTCCTTTCATTCTTTCTCTCTTTAGTAAACTATATGACTACTGTACTTCAAGTACAGTGTCCAGTTAATGAGTGTGTTAGATTATTAAGCTGAAAGAGGAGAACTCAGCCACAGGTTTCAGTGGAGAGTTAGCTGAGGTAGAGCCATAGATTTCCTATTTCTAATATTTCACTATCATCCTTTAGTGTAAAGCCCAGACCCAGTCAAGGCTGTCAGGACTTGGCAAGGAGTGGGAGAGAATGCGGAAGACTAGGCTAGGAATTTTCTGGTTGAGAACTTGCTGGTATCCAGTGAAGTTACTGAAAACTTTGTTCAGATTTTACCAAGGCTACACTACAGAATTGTGGTATTTACAGGCCTGGTGGCTCAAGGTCACCAACATCTGATGGAAAACTCATATGTTATGCTGCCTTGCTTAATAATTAAAATGTTGCTACATTGCCTTTCTGTAGGCTTAAGGAAAATAGCATAAGAACTAATTGGCATTGATTCTATTGTTTTAACTCGTTCTTCTACTTGTAGTCTTCTTCTCTGAGAAGGATGTAGTTCTGAATGCTGAGAGCTATCCCAAAGTGGCATGGGCTGCTTTGGAAAGTGATTGGTTTCCTGTCAGTAGAAATTTTCAAACAGACTAGCTCATTCAATCACTTGTCACAGATGTTAAAAAGATGATTCTTGGTCAAGTATGAGTTGGAGTAGAGGGATTCTGAGGACCTTTCCAAATGTAAGATTCTGTGATTCAATTAGTGCTGGTGCTTTTCAGTGAGCTTTCTGGTCTTTCTTGGCTTTTCTCTCCATATCCAAGAATCCTAGGAAATTTTGGACATGGCATGCCTCTCCATGTACTCAAGTAGACAATCTCCCTATTGACAAGCATGTGGTCCAGAGCACATCTTAAGTTATAAAAAGGGATCCGTAAAGGCCTGTGTTATTATTATTTAGTTGTATCCAACCGTTTGTGACCACATGAACATTTTTATGGGATTTTCTTATTTTGCTAAATTTTTCATTTAAAATAAATATTTTATTTCTCTTAATTACATGTAATTTTATTTTCATTAAAAAAATTGAGTTCCAAATTCTCACCCTCCTTCAATCCCCTCCTCATTCATTGAGAAGGCAAGTAATTAAATATAGTTTATACATGTGCAGTCATGCAAAACATATAGCCATATTAATCATGTTGTGAAAAATAACAGCAAAAAAAGAAAAACAAAGAAAGTTGAAAACAAGTATGCTTCAATTTGCATTCAGACTCTATCAGTTTTTTTTTTTCTTTGCTGGTGGATTGTACTTTTCATCATACATTGCTTGGATCGTAGTATTGCTGAGAATAACCAAGTTTTGGCTAGCTGATCATCGTACAATATTACTGACCCTGTGTACAATGTTCTTCTGGTTCTGCTCACTTCACTTTGCATCAGTTCATGCAAGTTTTCCCAGGTTTTTCTGAATGGGCCCAATTGCCAGTTGTCCTGACCTATATCTTGCCACTGGACTCTGAATGACTCTGGAGGAGAAAGAGAGGCTGCTGACTTTGCAGAGCCTTGCCTCACTTGCAAGTCAAGGTCATTGGTCCTCTGAGAAAAGAAGGATGAACAACAAATAACACAGTTTTTCTGAATCCATCCTGTAGGTCACTTCTCATTTCACAATAGTGCTGTACCCCAATCACATACTACTACTTCTTCAGCCATTTACTTGGGGTTTTCTTGGCAAAGATCTAGAAGGGCTTTTCATTTTCTTCTCCAATGTGTACCCATTTTACAGATGAGGAACTGAGGCAAATGGGAGCTAGGTGACTTACCCAGAGTAACACAGCTAACAAGTGTCTGAGGCTGGATTTGAATCCAGATCTTCCACACTCCATGCCCAGCGCTCCATCTTCCTCACCACTTATCTACTCAAAGGTAACCAGGTCCTTAATGGTTTAACAAAATAGTTTATTAAAAAAAAATAGCAACTCTTGAATATGCAACCGTTAGCCCTAAGGAACCTATACTATAACTCACAGATTCAAATGTGAGCACCATTTTGCTCACAAATCTCCCATAAATTCTCTGATGAGTGCCTCATAATTCTCTTATAACTTATGAGCTCCCAGAAGTCTTGTCTTTACCCTCTGCTCTCTAGCCAGTGGCTCTAGGAACAGGAAGTGGTTTTCTTGACCCTTTCCCTAACCCCTAGAGGTAACTGGGTGTCAGAAGCAGAGTCAGAAAGATTTCAGTTAGAATTTTGTCTTAGGGGGCAGCTAGGTGGTATAGTGGATAGAGTACCAGCCCTGAAGTCAGGAGGACCTGAGTTCAAATCTGGCCTCAGACCAAACACTTGACACTTACTAGCTGTGTGACCCAGGGCAAGTCACTTAACCCCAATTGCCTAAAAATAAAAAAAAATTAAAAAAAAAAGAATCTTGTCTTAGACACTAGTTATGTGACTTTAGGCAAGTCACTTAACCCTATTTGCCTCAGTTTCTGCATCTGTAAAATGAGCTGGAGAAGGAAATGACAAATTAATCCCATATCTTTGCCAAGAAAACCCCAAATGGGTCCATAAAGAGTTGTACATGACTGAACAAGAGAAGAACCCTGTGTATCTATCTCTAGGGACTCAAGGAGAACTGGAAAGTTGTATACCTCCTATCATGAGCACCTTCAAATATCCTTTTTTTATGTATCATTCTCTGACTACACCACAGTATTACAGAGAGGAAAAAAAGAACCGTAACAACCAAAATAAATACACTGTTGTTTTCTCTAAACAATTAATGAACTTTACATGTCTAACTGAAGTAGCTAATTAACTAAAAGAATCATTCTTAATGCAGGAAATGATACAGAGTGAAATGAGCAGTATCAGGAGAGTATCTGAGAGATAGAGACATAATAATTGTTTGAAGACTGACAAACAACTTTGAAAGATAAGTATTCTGATCTATGAAATGACTAACCATGATTTCAGATGACCAAAGATGAAGCATGCTAACTACTTATCTCTTAATAGAGAAGTGATCAAATAATTATGCAGAATGAGACAAATAACTCACTGGCCAATGTGGGAGTTTGTTTTGTTTGATTATTCATATTTATTAAAAGAGTTTTCATTTTTTCATTTAGAGGCAACTGGGAGGGAGATAAAATAAACTTTTTAATTTAAAAAAGTAAAATTAAATGAAATATATATTTAAAAATAGAGAAATAAGCCATAGAACTTCTTGGCTGAAAGGTTAGTAGCTGTGAGGCAAGTAGAAGCATTTGACCAGTGGAGCAGCTTCCTCAGTGACCACATGAGACCAAAATTCAGAAGGCCCCATGCGAAGAAGCCCTAGAAGACATCAATGGGGCTGCAAGAGTGGAGGTATGAATTGCTTCTCTATGTCTCTTTCCAGACTACATGAAATCCTTAAATATATAACCCTCCAGAAATGCTGCCTGGCCAAATATTCCACAGATATATCATTCTTCACCTGTATTTCTTTGGTGTGCCTACTCTTCCTCTGATAATGTGAACATTTATAGGGAAGTTAACACCAGGTGAACATGAGGAAAATGTCCATTGTTACTTTTATAACTCTGATTTCATTACTTGTGTTTTAAGCAATTCTGCCTTCTTATTGGCTAGATGAGGAGGGCCTCATGATAATGGTTCTTCAGTGGGTATGAGTACATAGAGTAGGATGGATCTAGAGTGGAGAGCAGCTAGCTGGAGGGATCCATATGTGAGTGGGAATGGTGGAATTATTACAACCATCAGTCTTCTCTTCATCTAGGATCATAGAACAAAGATCTTTGTTGGTTTATTAGCTAGAGTCAGAAACTAAGGATAATGAAAACTTAATGAAAAGTCTTTCTTATGACTGTTCTTGGAAAGAGAATTTGGCTCCTCTGCCTCCCCCATAGAGTGTGGATCTTTGAGAGCCCTCACAGCCAGATAGACTTCAACTGCCTTAGAAAGTGATGTGATGTTGCTCCTCCTCCAGACTCTATCTCCTAAGCATTTAACGGGGTGAAAATCAATTAGGAGAGATGTCCCATACTTTACCTAATTACACTGTGGGCATCAGCTTTCTCTACTATGTTGCTATTTTTCTCCTGGAAGTAGATGAGTCCTGGGCACAGATGGGAAATAACTTTACTAGGATTGTGACATTCCCTTGTCAACTTCTTACCCAAATTTACCTCCTGTCTTGTGTCTCTTTTCTTTCCAGACTCTGTGCATGTTAAAATCATTAAGATCCCAAGATA